CAACTCACTCAATGTATCTATGTTCCTCTGCAAAGTTTCACAGTCCTTTGAACACTTTGCTCTGCCACTCATCTTAATGTCATCTGCAAACTTTGACACCCTACACGTGGTCCCCAACTCCAAATCATCTATATAAATTGTAAATAATTGCGGTCCCAACACCAATCCCTGAGGCACACTACTAGTCACTGACTGCCAGCTAGAATAGCACTCATTTATCCCCACTCTTTGCTTCCTGTTAGTCAACCAATCCTCTATCCATGCTAATACTTTACCCTTAACACCATGCATCCTTATCTTATGCAATAGCCTCTTGTGCGGCACCTTGCCAACAATGTTGGGAGGGATTTTATGAGGACTGGCACTCTCATGCAGATTGCCACTCCACTCTTGAATTTTTTTTATGAAAGCAAAGAATTCCACATTTCTAACTAGGCTCCTTCAGAAATGTGGAGTCATACTTCTGTTCTGACTGGTCCCTCCTGGCATAGGACAGTTAATGGAGGGCAAACCAGGCCCCCTTTCTCACAGTAATCAGTTTCAGTTTTCTGTACATTAAAGATCCAGCATCACAGCCAGTTCCTTAGACAGCTGCTGAGGTTGGGTGGTGCATGGTTAGGGCTTTGGCACAGTCAGGTGACAAATGGGTAGGAGTTAGTGGGTACCAGTAATTCAGGTACCAAATTGGTAGAGCTCCAAATGGGTAGGGCATAAGGTGCCAGGTGTGTAGAGTGCCAGGGGAAGAAGGCAAAGGGGCAAGGTATGTGATGGTAGGTCAGGGTGGTGGGGCAATATTGGATCTGGGGGGAGGGAGCATGGAGGGTGGGGGAATTGTTGTTAATGTGTGAAGGATCCAAAGGGTGTTGGACTCTAGTCTGGTAGGGGTGCTGGTATCAGATCTCCAGGAGGCTGTCGGCTGATGCAGGGAATTCTAAGATGGGACTTCCGTTGGGGTTCAGATGAGGGAGAAAATCTGTCAGTTATCAGGTCATGGGGCAGGGGGGAGGGTGAACACAAAGATGGGATGCAGCAGTCAAATCCAATGGAAGTTGATGGGGGACAGTGAGTTGGGAGGAGGCAGGGATGGGTATTGTGTTAGATTAGGGGCTGGAGATGTAAGGGTCCAGGTTGCAGAGTCATTGGGTGGGTGTAAGCTATATTGTGGATTCAGTTAAATAGTTACTCAAGAGCTGGATGAGGCATTTGATAGTCCAATGTTTTCTCAGCAACATTTTACTTAACTTCAGTTGGAACCTCTAATTTCTCCGATTTAAATGGATATGTTTGGATGGTTCCAGGAAACGTTCCCTTTAAGCTGCCAGGTTGTGGGGATCACTGGTGCAGGCATAGGGAAATAGCCCAGCAGAATCTTCAACTTTCTGAGCAACTCTTCCACGTCTATTTCTATGGGAATTCTGCAGGATCCCCATGCACAATTCCCATGTATGACAGTGCAATAAAGAATTAGTTCAGAAAATCTGAACTCTTTTTTTTACTGTGAGTTTTAAGATCTTTCCAACCATGTTTCGTATCTAGATAGCTTGCTGTTTCATCAGCTTTTGTGTAATAAACTTCTGTTCTGTTAAAGAAAATCTGGAGCCCTGTGTGACCGTATATCAGTAGTTGACCACCACATTAACTAAAATAAAAGAAAATCTATGACTCACTCAGAGATAGCAAGAACTGCAGATGCTGGAGTCAGAGACAACACCGTGTGGAGCTGGAAGAACACAGCAGGTCAGGCAGCATCAGAGGAGCAGGAAAGTCGACATTTCGGGAGGGGAACCCCCCAAAACATCGACTTTCCTACTCATATGATGCTGCCTCACCTGCTGTGTTGCTCCAGCTCCACACTGCGTTGTCTCAGAAAATCTATGACACCAGGTTCATTCTGGGATCTGACTTGTCCAGTTGTACCATCAGTTGGTATGGTAACAATGGCCAGTTACTGAATGGAATGGAAATCTTTATAAAAATTGGTAATAAATCATTTGACCACTTGCTGCACGAAGTCTTTCCCTATGCCACAAAATTTCAACTTGAAAAATAACTGAGGGGGTAGTACCCCAAGTGATCTCGCATCCTTTTCACAGTCAGAGATGCATTGCAAAAAAATTTCAGCTTTCAACTTTTAGATCTATCGAACTTATGTCAAGAATATGACAAATGATCAGGTATCATCATAGCCAATAACGTCAAATATCCAAATAATCAGTTAGAACACTGCCGTAATACTTATCATCTCACCTCAGACTCCTCCAACAGCATTATAACTGCCAGTAAAATGCTAGCTGGTGGGGAGCCACCCATGTATACCACCCAATTTTACAACTGCATCACACATCTGCCAAACCACTCAGAGGGTGGAGACAATCATTCAATTTATTTGGTAATTGGGTTGCAAATAAAGTGTAAATTTCAAATAACTGTGTTTCAGAATGAAATTTGCTGCAAGCAATGGTGAACTACAGTAAGAGAAAGAAAATAAATATCCAAAAATGCATCAAAATTAATGAGTAGATAATCCATTTGACATTGGTATTCAGGCTTGTATACATAAATACAATTTTATGGTTTGGAATTTGCTACATAAGAATGACCAAACACTCTGAAAATGCAACAGTGTTATTGATATAACGAAGCGTCCCATGTAAGTACACACATGGTTGAGGTGGCTGCACATTTTTATGTATAACACACCATTCTGTATAAAGAAAGCTGGAAATTTATTGCAATGGCATTATTGCTGGTGCTTGCTTTAAATAACATTGTTGCTTTCTTTAACTTTCCAGCATTCATACAAAACCAAAAGTTATTGAAACTTCATTACGAACACAGTAGCAATGATCTCGAAAATCCAAAGAGCTGGGAAGCACTGTCGTCACTCAGAAGCATATCAGCTATGTATGCAGGTCAGTCTAATTTGGACAAATTACTTCTACTGTAAACTGGGAGCTAGTTATTGTTTACAAAATGGAGTAGAACAACAGATATTCGCATCTACAATGCTCAAACTGTTTTGTACTTGCTTGAAAAGTACATCAAAGGTTAAGTTCAGGATGTGTTAATAGCTTCCAGATCATCAATGATCATAAGGTCATGAGATACAGGAGCAGAAGTACAGCATTCAGCCTATTAAGTCTGCTCCATCGTTCTAGTAGATCACAGCTGATCTATAAGTCCATAAGAAATAGGAACTGCAATAGGTCATTCAGCCTCGCAAGCCTGCTCCATCATTCAATAAGATCGTGGCTGATTCGACATTCCTCACATCCACTTTCCTGCTCTTTGCCCAGAACCCTTGGTTTTCCCACTGATCAAGAGTCTAGCTCAGCCTTAAATATACACAATGACTCTTCCCCCAGAGTTCTCTGTGGCAAGGAGTTTCAAAGACACGACTCTCTGAGTAAAGAAACTCCTCCTCATCTTAGTTTTAAATTGGTGCCCCTTTATTTTGAGACAATGTCTTTTGGGTCTAGACTCTCCCATGAGGGGAAACATCCTCTCAGCCCCTTCTGCAGCTTTTCTCAATTTAAATAATATTCAGTTCTTTTGTTCTTCCTTCCAAAATGAATAACTTAATATTTTCCCACTTTATTCTCCATTTGCCAAATTCATATTTTCTCACATTATACTCCATTTGCCAACTTCATATTTTCCCACATTATACTCCATTTGCTAACTCTTTGCCTGCCTACTTAGCCTATTGATCTCTCTCTGTAAACTGTTTGTATTCCCCTCACAATTTCCCTTTCTACCCATTTTAGTGTTGTATGCAAATTAGGCTGCAGTACATTCAATTTGTTCTTCAAATTCATTGATAAACTTTGTAAACAGCTCCAGACTCAGCACTGACCCCTGAGAAACCCACTGGTTATAGTTCACCAAATTGAAAAAGAACCCCTCATCCCCATTCACTGTCTCCTGCCCATTAGCCACTTCTCTATCCATACCAATATACTACCTTCAACACTGTGGGCTCTTATAACTTAATCTTTTGTGAGGTAGCTTGTTGAACGCCTTCTGGAAGTTCAAATACAACACATATACTGGCCCCCCTCTATCCACTCTGGTTGAGACTTCCTTGAAAAACTCTAATAAATTAATCAGTCACAAGTTCCCTTTCATGAAGCCATACTGACTCTGCTTGGTTAGGTTACGATTTTCGAAATGTTCTGTGATTACTTCCTTAAAAGCTGATTCTAATACATTTCCAACAATAGATGTTAAGCTAATTAGCCTATAGTTGCCTACATTTTGACTCTTACTTTTCGAATAGGGATGTCACATTAGCTGCTTCCAATTCTCTGGGACTTCTCTGGAGTCGAGTAAGTTTTGGAAAATCATAACCAATGCATATATTGTCTCTGTAGCTACCTCTTTTGGGATCCGAGAACACAAACTATCAGGGTCAAAGGACTTATCTGCCTTTAGCCCCATTAGTTTGCCAAATACAACTTTTTTAGTGATGGTGATGGTACTTAATTAGTCCCCTGTATTCCTGGATATTAATGGGATTTCAAAGTATCTTCCACCATAAGGGCTGATGCAAAATATCTATTCAACTCTTTTGCCATTTCCTTGTTCCCGAAAACCACTTCTTTGCCCACATTCCTAACCTGTCCAAATCCTTCTGTAGCCTCCTCATATCCTCAATACTACCTGTCTCTCTACATATCTTTGTATCGTCTACAAACTTAGCCAGAATGCCCTAAGTTCCTTCATCTAGATCATTAATGTATTCAGTGAAAAATTGTGGTCCCAAAACTGACCCTTGTGGAACACCAATTTGCATCAGCTGCCATCCTGAGAAAGACCCTTTTATCCCTACTTTCTGCTTTCTGCCAGACAACCAATCTTTATCCATGCTAGTACCCTGCCCCTAACACCATGGGCCCCTATCTTACTCAGCAGCCTCCTGTGTGGCACCTTGTTAAAGGCCTTCTTGAAGTCCAGGTAGATAACATCCATTGGCTCTCCTTGGTCTACCCTGCTCATTACTTCCTCAAAGAATTCTAACAGATTTGTCAGGCATGACCTCCTCTTGATGAAGTCATGCTGACTTTGTCCTATTTTACTATGCACTACCAAGTAATCAGAAATCTCATCCTTCACAATGGACTTTTAAATCTTACCCACAACCAAGGTTAGGCCTGTAATTTTCCGTCTTTTGCCTTACTCCCTTTTTAAACAGGGGTGTCATGTTAGCGATCTTCCAGTCCTCTGGGGCCCTCCATGATTCTAGCATTCCTGAAAGATCACCACTAATGCCTCCACTATCTCTTCAGCTATCTCCTTAAGAACTCTGGGGCGTGGTCATCTGGTCCTGGTAATTTATCCACATTCAGGCCATTTAGTTTTTCTAGCACCTTCTCTTTGGTGATGGCCACCATACTCAGCTCTGCCCCCTGACTCTCTTGAATTTTTGGGGTATTAGTCGTGTCTTCCACTGTGAAGACTGATGCAAAGTAATTATTCAGTTCCTCAGCCATTTCTTTGTTCCCCACTACTATCTCTCCAGCATCATTTTCCAACAGTCGAATGTCCACTTTTGCGTCTGTTTTGCCCTTTAAATATCTAAAGAAACTCTTACGGTCCTCCTTTATATTACGGACTAGCTTACCCTCATATTTAATCTTCTCCCTCCTTATTTCTTTTTTTGTTGCCTTCTGATGGTCTTTGTAAGCTTCCCAATTCTCTGGATTCCCACTGCCCTTTGTCACATTATATGCTTTCTCTTTTGCTTTAATGCAATCCCTAACTTCCCTAGTCAGCCATGGGTTGCCTCACCATCCCTGTGCCATGCTTCTTTTTCCTAGGGATGAATTTTTGCTGTGTCTCCTGAATTACTCCTAGAAATTTCTACCATTGCTGTTCCACTGTCTTTCCTGCTAGGCTCCTCTCCCAGTCAATTCTTCCCAGTTCCTCCCTCATACCTCTGTAGTTGCCTTTATTCAGCTGTAATACCATTACTTCTGATTCTATCTTCTTCCTCTTAAATTGCAGAGTAAATTCAATCATATTATGATCACTGCCTCCTCAGGGTTCCTTCACCTTAAGCTCCCTTATCAAGTTGGCCTCATTGCACAACACTAAATCCAGTATTGCCTGTTCCCTAGTGGGCTCCACCATATTTATATATTTAAAGAAGCTCTTATCAACAGTTTTTATATTCCTCACTAGTTTGCCCTCGTAGTTTGTTTTCTCTGTCTTCATTATCTTTTTAAGCTCTCTTTTCTGGATTCTGAATTTATCCCAGTCTTCGAGGCAATCACAGACTTTGGTTTCCTTTTTTGCTTTTTCTTTCAACTTACAAAATTCCTTAACTATCTTGGTTAGCTATCTTTGGTTTATCCCCTCTCTTAGAATCTTTGATATTTACTGGGATTTTTTTGTGAGAGTCATGAATTACATCCTTAAATATCTGCCATTGCTTAGTTTTAGTCATTCTTGCCAATCTATCTGGCCAGTTCACTTTATTTAACTCTCTCATCATTTCATTGTAATTCCTTTTATTTACATTAAACACAGTTGTTCCTGACCCAGGTTTCTCAGTCTCAGATTGAATTTTAATTCTTTCATGTTATGATCACTACTTCCCATGGAATCTTTTACTCTGAGGTCATTTATTAAACCTGTCTCATTACCCATTACCAGATTCAAGATAGCCTGCTCCCTAGTTGGGTCCATGACAAATTGCTCTAGGAAACTATCCCTAATGCACTCTATGAATTCGTTGTTGTAGCTACCCTTTCCAATTTGATTAACCCAATAAACGTGAAGATTAAAGTTACCGATAATTATTGCTCTACTCTTTTTACATGGCCCTATGATGTGTTGAATTATGGCCTTTCCCACAGACTAGCTACTGTTTGGGAGATAGCAAGAACTGCAGATGCTGGAGTTAGAGTCAATACAATGTGGAGCTGGAGGAACACACCAGGTCAGGCAGCATCAAAGGAGCCAGAAGGTCACTGTTTCAGGTTTATACCCTGCATCAGGCTACTGTTTGGACTCCTACCAATGCCTTCCTTTCCTGGCCGTTTCTTTACTTCTGACAAATCGGACTCTCACAACTGTCTTCCTTTTGTGTTGTATAAACATTGCTATCTCAACAGTTTTTCCATCCCTCCAGTTTTTACAAATGTCAAATGTCCTGGAGTGTTAATTTCCCAGTTTTGATCTCCTTGTAACCATGTTTTCATAATGGCAATGAGATTATATTTATTCACCTCAATTTGCAGCATCAGTTCACCTACCTTATTCGGAATGCTTCATGGATTAGGATACAAAGCCTTTAAGTTTGTTCTATTATCAGTTATCCTGCACTTTTATGATTCCTTGGTACACTCATAGAATCCCTACAGTGTGGAAAACAGGCCCTACGGCCCAACAAGTTCACACCGAACCTCACAGCATCCCACCCAGACCCATCCCCCTATAACCCACCTAATCTATACATCCCTGGACACTATGAGCAATTTAGCATGGCCATTTCACCTAACCTGCACATCTTTGCACCGTGGGAGGAAACCGGAGCAGCCGGAGGAAACCCACGCAGACATGGGGAGAATGTGCAAACTCCACACAGACAATCGCCCGAGGCTGGAATCGAACCCGTGTTGCTGGCGCTGTGAGGCAGCAGCGCTAACCACTGAGCCACCGTGCTACCCCTAATATGACATTCACACATTCTGTTCCTTCCTTCTTTTTATTTTTTGCTAACAATCAACTGCCTGACAATCCTGAAGTCCTACCTTTGCCTTTAGGTTTGATTTCATACTTTTTCATATTAATTAAACCACTCCCCTCCCACCACTCCACCCCCAATATTTAGTTTAAAGCCCTATTCACAGTCCGAGTTATGCGATTTTCCAGGACTCTGGTCCCAACATGACTCGTGTCCCAATAGAACACCTCCCTCCCTCCTCAGTACTGGTGCCAGCATTCCATTAATTCAAACCCATTTCTCCCACACTAATCTTTGAGCCACAAATTGATCTCTTTAATCTTGTTGTCCCTATGCCAATTAGTTCGTAGCTCAGGTAGTATTTCAGAGGCTATTACCTTTTTGCATTTAATTTAGCCCCTAGCAGCTTATATTCCCTCAGCAGAACCTCTTTCACCTTTTTACCTAAACCGCTGGTACATATGTGCATCACGACAATTGAATCTTTCCCCTCCCATGCCAAGTTCCCCTGCAGCCCAGATGAGACATCCTGAACCCAAGCACCAGGCAGGCTACACAGCCTTTGTGACTTCCAATTCTGGCCACAGGGAACATTGTCTATTCCCCTGACAATACAATCCCTGATTCCAACTAAATTTCTCTTTTCTCCCCGTTCTTGAATAGCTCCCTGTACCGTAGTGCTATGGTCAGATTGCTCATCCTTCCTGCAACCGCCACTCTCATCTACACAGGGAGCAAGAATCTCAAACCTGTTAGGCAACATCAAGGGCTGAGGCTCCTTCAGCACTACCTCCTGGATCCCTCTACCTATCTCATTCATAGTCATACCCTCCTGTCCCTGGCCACTGACTTAATTCAAGGTAGTTAATCTAAGGGATGTGACTGCCTCCTGAAATGTAGCATCTAGGTAACTCTCCCCCTCCCTGATGTTTCGCAGTGTTTGAAGGTCAGATTCAAGCTCATCAACTCTGAGCCGGAGTTGCTCAAGCAACCAATAAGTGCTACAAATGTGGTCACAATGAACCACTATGGGGTCCACCAGCTCCCACATCATGCAGGCACAACACATCGCTTGGCTCAGCATCTCTACTTTATTTACTTAGTTCTTTATTTGTTTATTAGAATGTTCTGCCTGATCTTACCTATAAATATTTCTCCTGTTTGCCTTCACTCTGAAAGTAATTTATATAGCCAAATTAGGAGCTATTACCAACTTACTGAATTTCCTGTGATGTCACTTTTTGTTTTGTGCTAGGCCCAGATCCTGGGCTTCAATTTATTCTGTTAAAAAGACTTGACAAACAATGAACCAAAAAGAGCAAGTAAAAAGCAACTCTTCCCCTCTGCACTGAATCCCCATGCAGCTCTAAAATCTCCAGAATGACTCTCACTCCAGATGTGATCTCTCTTCCCCGACCATCTGAAGTTTACTGGTCTGAGAATCTCCATCTCCAGTTTCCTAACTTTTCCTCCATAATCCTTGATTCCTTTACTGATTAAAGATCTGTCTGTCTCAGTCTTGAACATACTTAATGACCCAGCCTCTACAGTCCTCTACATTAAAGAATCCCACAGATTCATTACCCTCTGAGAGAAAAAAAAATCCTTCTCATCTCTTTCTTAAATTGGTGACCCCTTTTACTGAGATTGTGTCCTCTGGTCCTAGATTCTCTCAACAAGTGAAACGACCTCTTAGTACTTGCCCTTTTCAAGTCCCCTCAGAATCTAGAATGTTTCAATCAGGTTGCTTCTCATTATTGTAAACTTCAATGAGTACAGGCCCAACCTAGTCATTGTCTTCTGTAGATGATCCTTCCGTGAATCTTCGGAAATCATTAACACATTTCAAATGTAATTAAAATTTAGTTTCCCTTTCTTTTATCAATCCATAATCACTAACATTAAATTTTGAGATTAATTCCAGAAACTGAACGTGATTTGTACTTAAACTCAATGTTTACATTAATTTATCAGCTATTGTCTAAACAACACAATTTATCACTATTTAAACAGCCTTTGGAGAATGAAACTTTTTATACATTAAATTCTATCTACATGAAGTAGTCCTTGAAAAACCTGTAGTGTTTTTATGGTATTATTTGATGCATTTTCTGTTAAACTTAGTCAATTGTCTGTCTCATAACTATCCCATTAGTACGAATTTATCAAGGCCAACTCTCTAGCATCTCCCTGAAACTATATCAACACATGCAATGTTTAAACTGCGAGAGTTTGAGCAGCATTGGGCTGACAGCAGTAAAATGTCCTGCTCTCCTTTGAATATTCATGATGTCCTTAGCATCTAACTCAACCATCAGGACAGACAGATGCGATTTCAATTTAAACTTTACAATGCAATCAATGTAACAAGACACTTCAGCTTAAACAAAATAAATAAGTTTAAAATGCCTTTAAGATGTTCCAAGAAGAACGGCATCATAAAACATAGTTATATTAGAATGCAGTTTAACTTCAATGAAAATGACAATGACAAAATAACATTGAAGATGTGAGATTTTGAGCCTAACATGGTGCAGGTACTATGCATACCTGAAAACTTTGAGGCTTTAAACAAAAGAAAGCTTCTTTGGTACCTGTAAGTAACTTTTATGGGTTCTTAATCATTCAATCTGGATGATTTGAAAATGCTAAAATTAAAGCAAACTACTGTGGATACTTGATTCTGAAATAAAAACAGAAAGCTTTGGAACAGAGATAGTAGGAACTGCAGACTGCTGGAGAATCTGAGATAACAAAGTGTAGAGCTGGATGAACACAGCAGGCCAAGCAGCATCAGAGGAGCAGGAAAGTTGACGTTCCGGGCCTAGACCCTTCTTCA